TTATTCAAAGTTTTAACAAGTTGCGTTTGGACGAGTGCGTTTATATCCACGGACTGTTACCCGAAAAACGATGTCTAAAGAAATAGGAATCGAAGTTTAGCACAACTCACCAGAACTAAGCAATGTTGGGGCATGTTGAGCTCGGCTTGTTCTTTCTGCAGCTTTCTCAGGTTGTTATTCTTTTAATAATTTATTGTACAAAGAATGGGTTACAAACGATGACAAAGACTGTTCCATAATTCCTATTAAACTCAAAAGATATAGAAAAAACAAAGTTATAGAAATAAATATTTTATGTTAATATGGTTAATATAATTAGCTGTTTTAATAATAAAGAAGACTACTTTATTATTATTAATTTCCATGTTCATTTACAAGCTGCATGCGTTCTTGATCAAAAGTCATTGAATATTTCAGTGGGGGGTGCGATAAACCGCCAAGCCGCATGATTTGTTGCTTCTTCACTGCGGTAAGAAAAAAATCCCATACCATCACAGCCCTAGATGAATGTCATTTATGGGCCTCTAGTGACACCAAACTCAAAAAAAAAAAAAAAAAAATTTTTTTTTAAACTCCCCCATCTGTCATTTGCCTGTTGAAACAGATCCTGTCCCAAGTTAATAAACAAATAAATAAAAATAAATGAATATAAAACGTGCAATGTTTAATAGAGTCACAGTGTTTAAACATTTGTTTTGTGGAAATAAATAATAATTGATAATTGATTGTGTATAAATAAATATCAAAAAGTAAAAAGTTTATTAGTAACACAATTAAGTGCAAATTAATACATTTTAATATATGTTGGAACATAATTGTGCCTACACATACAGTAGTTAGTTGTTTTTCTATGGAGTAGGTAGGTTACTGTAAAAAGGGACAACATGGTAACTAACAATAACTGAATGATGAATATTTCCCCCATTAGAGGTCGACCGATAATTGGTTTTTTGACAGCCGATGCCGATATCTTGGAAAGCAGGGTGGCCGATATAAAGCCGCTATAATTGTATTTATTTTAATTAATATTTAAGAAATTTGAAATCATTTGAAAATGGATTAAAAAAATAAATTTGTAAAATAAATAAAATAAAACTTTAGATGACTAAGTATTTTCCACAAATAAATAAATAAATATTTATATGAAGATATTTATTTTATTTGTATTATTTAATTATTTGATTTGGATTTGGATTTGAAATTTCAAGTTAGTTTTTATTATTTGACATTTTAATTTCACAAAGAAATGTGCAGCATTTTGTTGGAGAAATAATAAAAGGACACCTTTTCATTTATAATTTGTCTTAAATCTTATTTTGTTAAAAAGAAAAAATGTGAGAAAATTGTATTGTGAAATCAGTACCGTGAATCGTATCGCATCGTGAGTTGAGTGAATCATTACATCCCTATATGCTACTAGTTTTTGCTGTGGTATCAAAGAAGTATTCTGTTATTTAAATAATAAAGAACCATATTTTTTTTGCTCATCTGCAAAATGATCTGATCTGTTACTCAAAATCAAATGTTAATGCAATATAATCCAAGCCGTGGGTTTTGTGATCCGTTGCACCCCTACTCTCTTGACTTGTTATTTGAAGAAAAAAAGCGATCACTGAAGTTTTTAATCATGCTGATTTGTCCGCAGTGAAGTTCAGCCGATGTCTTTTTTTTCTTTTTCGGGCTACTTAAATTCATTCTGGGCTACCAAAATCTGAAGAATGTCTGCCCGAAGGGCTACCAGTGATTTTGAAATTTTGCGAGCCCTGAGTTCTATCGGATGATTAGACAGACTTCTATCTGTATTAGACAGAAATGTTAACGACGACGGCGAACAAGAGGGAGAATGTGAGCACTGTGTGCTCAGCGCTGCTGCTCTCAGCACCGTCAAAATAAAAGTCCCACCTCGAACACATCGGCCAAACAGAAAAACTTATCGGCCGATGCCGATATTTGAAAAATGCCGATATATCGGTCGATCACTACCCCCCACAGATATACGTGACAGACACAAATGGCACCCATTTTGTAGAGTGACTTAAGCCCAATTTATATTTCTACGTCGAACCTACGTAGCCTTAGCCTACGCATAGATGCACACCCTACGCCGTCGCCTGACGTGCACCTCTCCAAAAATCTGAGTTTTGTGTGTGTGTTTATGTGCACTTTAATATATTTTAATGTTACACCTTCTTATATAAAATAAAACAAAGCAAAGAACAAGTGTCTTATCATTTATTATACTACATAGCATTATGAATCAGTAGTTGTCCGTGACAAACAATGTTGATCTGCCATGGTACAAGTCCTTGTGGAGATTGAAAGAATGCCATCTTCTCCTGTTCCGTTGTCTCCTTTTTGTAGTTTTAAATAATGACTTAATGATTTGATATTTATTTGCCGCCGTCACGTCTATAATGCTTCTCCAACAAGCCGCTTCTTCTTCGGCTTTTGCCGTGGTGCTGCGGGTTACACCAGCAACATGCCTGTGGGCACTGCAGACTAGCAGTTTGCATGGTGTACTGCACGTCGACGCAGACAACGACACAGAAGTATAAATGAAAACTGACGCATAGCCTACGGCGTAGGTCCGACGCAGAATAAATCAGCCTTTAGTTGTCTTTGCATATTAGGCTAGGGAAGGAGGAAGTGTTTTAATAAAAAATGACATAGTTGACTCCTCTGCTAGATTACTTTTTTTTTTCTTATAATCATTTGGAATTGTAAACCTTTCCTGTTGAAGTCTGTCGAATGTCTAGTCAGTTTCATGCTATCATTTTTCACAGGAAGCCTATTGGTACATTTACATTTTTCCCCATGGTCATTTATTGCATATGTTAATGCATAATGTACATTTATAATGTCTTTCATTTCACTGTCAATGAAGGTTTTGAGCTTGTAAGAATGGAAAAGCTATAGGAAAATTGTACCACTTTAGTATCAAAGGAGAGTTTTCTTTGGTCATTACAATTTATATCTACTTCTCTTTATGTTGTGTTATTGCCAAGTACATCAATGTATTTTTTTCCACTTAGAATCAGACCACACATTGATAGCAACATGTAGGCTACTATAAAAACGAAGGGGCTATACTCTCACGAGGCAAAAACAGACTTTCCAGTCTGGTTTTCTTGGCATTCACTCATTCCACTTTCAAAGTGGATCGTTTTTCTAAATTACACGTTATCTCCCACTGATAAAACTCAGTTCTGGGAAAATGACTATTCTCACACCCTTTATTCTTTATTGTGCAAGTTATTTTTTCGCTGTGAATGAACTAATTGCACTAGTAGTTTAAAATGCACTTTTTCCCCTTGCTGGGTAGCAGAAATTGGTGCCCTTGAGAAAGCATAATGTTTGCTTCCTGCATGCTTTTGGCTTTGGCACTAAACACAAAAGCTTCGGCTTCAACTACTGTATGTGCAAAGGTTTTGATGTGTGCATCAAACACGCAAAGAAAATAAGATGCACAATTCAGGAACGCTTTATTGCTATGTGATTGTTTGACCCTGCAAGCTAGTTCTGCATTATTTTGTCTGGTCAGTGGTTGTGTAAATGGAGATGGTAACTGATCAGATACAGCTGGGAAATGGTCTCTGTCAAGACTCCAGCAGCTGCTGTCAGCCCTGACATTTCAGAGCCTGCTGTCCATCACATCTTAATTGTCTTCCTGGCTACAGTGGGGCCTGGCCTGCCTAGCAGCAGTCTCTTGCTGTTATATCACCGTGAGAGTGACTGGCACCAGAGTGTAGTGTGCTCAGAACACCTCTAGAGCATTACGGTGTTTGTTTCACGGGGGTAATGTGTTTTGAAAGGATTGTTTGAATTTTTGATGTGTCAGTTGATTAAGTGCCACTGCCTTGAAAGTCATGGCCTGGTTTCAGTGAATGGCTGGATGTTGCAGTTGCTTGTCTGTTGGGTTCTGTGGTTTGAAATGAACAAGAATGAGCACAACTATACGCGTTTTTTTTTTTCATGAGGCTATGCCCTCCTTGTTTTACACTTAATGCGTGTGTGTTGAATGTTCAATAAGTTAGTGATCATAACAATATTGAAGAGAGAATATTTTTACCCCACCTAGCTCTTTTTTACATCATTAAGACTGTGTACCATTGTGATTTGTAGCTTCCATAGATTTGCACCAAACAGACAGAGAAAGCGATCTTCTGTGTATTACACACACACACACACACACACACACACACACATAAGTACGTATAGGGACATTTAAGAGGGTTTATTCTCCAAATAACTCTAATTTCATGTTGCAGAAAAATGTGTTTAAAAATTGTGTATGGTCTCTTGTTCTTGTTCCAAGTTACCTTCCTGTCCACATGTAAGATTGCAGTCATCCAAATGATGAAAAAGTATCACTGTAAACAATGTATTTTGCGACACCACGAAATAAATGATAGAGCATAATATGAAACAATAGACTTTTTATTTCGTCCATCCGATATATATAGTCATATCGCATAACAGCCCTATATTATAGTATTAATTATTATTTTGATTATTTTTTTTTTATATTCTCATTTTATTTTTTTTATTAGTAAAATGTGCTTTTATTTAAATGTTTCTATTTAGCCTTATTTTTATTTCAGTTTTAGTAATTTTTCAGTTTAACAGTTCCAATTTTTCATATAACATTTGTTTTATTTCAGCTTTATTTGTTACCAAAAACTCATTTTGTTCTGTTGATTTTTAAGTGTTTGTTAATAAGAACACTGATATCAAGTAATATTAGAAAGTTAATATTATTTATTATATTATATTATATTATATTATATTATGTTTTACAATAGAATATAGCTGGAATTGCTGAGATAGATTTTTAACAGTATTTAAAAAAAAAAAACCTCCAGGGCTTGAGAGCATGCTAAATAGCTGGACAGACAGCTGTAATGTTTTGGCACAACGCCTTGTCTTTAAGCACCTGCTTTAAATCACTCTATACTGAGCTGTGCTTAATTTGTTTTCATTTCCCTGCTCTTCAAAGGTGTGGAAACGTTCTGGAGCCTGGTTCTACAAAGCCTTGCCGAAGCATATTTGTCCCATTAAGGATTCAATTCTAGATAACAGGAAGCCAGTAATAGAAAGAGGAGAGCAGCTGCCAGTGGCCAGGAGTGCACCAATCAGCTACACATGGGCTCAAAGCAAAGGTTAGATTCTAATGTTTCTATTCTACTCTACTCTACCCTACCCTACCCTACCCTACCCTACCCTACCCTACTCTACTCTCTATGGAATGCTGAGTTTTAAAAACTGAATAGCTGAAATGCTCGTGCTTGGACCATAAAAGACTGTGGTATTAAAGGGGAAAACAGGATTAAATCTGGTCTGTGTCTTATCCCATTCCCCTTCTCTCCCATTACTTTTCTGTCTGATCTTTCCTTAAAGTTAAAGGCAAATATCCTTTTTACAACAAATCCCTTACATGAATATTCTGAGTCCAATACAAGTTGAGCTCATTTGGCAGCATTTATCTCACAGCATTGATTGCCACAAAAATTAATTTCGATTGTGTTCATCCTTTTCTTAATAAAAGTACAAATCTGAGTTACAGTCAATAGAAGTAAATGTGGCCAGTAATATAAATGTTAAAATATTGTTTCAATAGTATACAGTGGCCACAAGATGCAGACAATGTGTGTTTACATGATGTTAGTTTGAGGGGAAATCCTTTATGTACCCCTTATATAGGTTACCTACTTACTAAAATGTCCCAGACATGAGTATTATATTAAAAGTTTTAAACTCATTCAACACGCAGTTAAAAGCAATAGAATAAAAGTGCACCTGTAGAATGGAAGCACAATTATTCTAATAAAAAATTGTTTTGCTCAAATATTTTGCATTCAGAATGAAAGAACTTTAAATATATTCCCCCATTTATGACAACATCATAAACTGCAGTTCGAAGAGTGTGTTGCAGCAATATTGACAGACTTTTTAAAAAGCCAGTTTAAAGCCAATTTAAAGCCAGAGTTTGTTCAGTAAACTGCTGCTTAACAAAACAGCAACAAACATAGGCTATATATTTAAAAAATGGCTATTTCCCAGCTCTACCAAAAACCTACCGAACCTTGACTTCCTTGACTTGAACTTGTCTTTTTTGTGTACCCCTAGTAATTATGCCTCAATTGCTTCATTGTCAATTAGCTTAAATTGTATAGAACCTGGAATATTTGGACACACAAAAATGTATAAACACCATTGCATTAGATAAGAAAGATAGAAAAATTACACTATTCAATCAAACAAATTCACAAAAAAATGTTTGTTAGTTTAAATGGTAAAAAAGTACTTTGCTAGCACGTACCCACACTTTTTGGGATTTTAAGCTAACATTCTATACCTCTATACTGTGTGTGTAATTAGGCCATTGTAGCAGTTATCTAAATATACTGGTGAGGCTATAGATCTAAAGGTCAGTTAGCTTATTAAAACACCCCTTACTTTAGATGGGACATCCCATTCTCTGCCAGTGACGCTATTAATGAGCTCAGCCATCTTAAGGTGACCCCATTTAACCCTTCTCCAAATAAACAATCACTCTTACATTCATTTCAGGCTGAAACGCTCCTAGCTTCCAGGCACAGTTCTGCTTAACCTTGCAGAAATGCATTTAAGGGAGGATGAAAAGTGAAATATATGTAAAAAATAAACTCGCCATGGCATGAATTAAATGGACCCATCTGCAGTGTGTGATAAGCTTACTTATCAGAAGAATTAGGCAGTAGAAGAGTCCTACAGCATGTGAAGCAACGTCCCTCAAGCGTTGTTGCGTCTTGCAGTAAGGATGCTCAGAGGACCAATATATCATCATTTTATTACATATAATAAAACTTGTGACCCATAAGAGTTTACAGTCACACAGTTTCTCATGCATTTGATTATCTCCGACATGCAAATAAGATGTTCAGAAATGTTCATCAATTCCACATATGGTGGTGCTTTATAGCTTTACAAAGATGTATCGTTGGAGTGGTTCACTTTGGCAGGCGCACATCTGTTCATATGTTACTGGACTGCAATTCATATGTGGTTGACATGAGTTTTCTTTTCCTTTTTTGTCAAACCAGCCTTAGAGCACCAAATGTGGCTTAGTGCCATCCACGCGTGCTTTAGAGCGAGAAATGTATGAGATGCATTAGTGTCGTAGGGGTGGACACCTTTTCTGACTGTATCCATTTAAAGGATGACTGAATAAATGAGGTCTGAAAGGATTTTGGTGGGACTAACGTAGAGTAATACCTCCATACCAGCTGCTGCTATTATGCATGAGCGTATCAGAGGTTGTTACTGAATGAAGCGTGATAAAAGCACACGTTGATTTAGGAACTGACCATTTGATAAAATACACTTTTAAAAAAAAATTGATTTAAAAAAAAAAAAATTATTTTTGTAGCATTTTAGGTTCAACAATGAATTGTGTTCTTATCAAGAACCATATTTGACTGTATGCTTGTGTATTTTTCATGTTTGGCTTCTTAAGTTGCTGATATGCTTCTTTGCAGATTAAAAAATGTGTATATAGTCCCATGTGTATATAGTCCCACCAAAAGCCTTTCAGACACATCAACGATGACGGGGACCGCCGGCCTGCTGACTGTGCGCGAGGTGCCCTCGAGCGTACGCCGCTCTATCACCCTCCGGGGCGCCAGGCCCGCTCTCTCCGGCATCGCGCAAACGATGCTTCAGCTAACTCCACCGCTTCTACCAGCTCGGCAATGTCGAGGGGATTCCTCATACTGACAGGACGTCGCATTGATCTCGGTAGGGCCCGAAGCAGCCGATCGACGATCACCCTCTCCACTACCTGATCGGCGGACGGGGCTCCGGCCAGCAGCCACAGGTGTGCGAGCTGCGCTGCCTGGGGGCGCACAGGTCTTCGCTCATCGTAAGTCCACTGATGGAACTGCTGGGCAGCGCAGGTCGGAGACAGGCCCACCCGGGCGAGGATCTCGGCTTTCAGGTCCTCATACCGTTCGTTACGTGGGGCTTGTAAGGAATAATAGGCTCTCTGTGCTTCCCCCGTGAGAAAGGGAGCGATGATGCGAGCCCACTCTTCTTTTATCCATCCCTCCCGGACAGCAATGACCTCAAACGTATGGAGGTAAGCCTCAACATCATCTTGGTCCGTCAACCTCAGTAAGCATTGGTGCGCTTTGCTGGTGGCGTCCGGGAGGGGGGAATGCCCCGCTGTGCTAACCTGTAGCTGCTCAACTACCATTGCCAACGAGCTCCAGGTGTGCTGGCCATTATGCTCAGGTGTTCGCAGTCGGTGATTAGTACACTATATTTCAAGTGTTCTGAACCGGTTCTAGGGGTGTGCCATATCATACCATCCACGATAACACCAGTATACATTTTTACATGATAAAAAAAGTGTCATATCGCGATATCAATGATATAGCGATGCAATGATGTATTTACTAGGGATGCACCGAATGTTAGTCAGCTGAAATTATTCTGCCGAAAATAGAAAAAAAAGCTCTTTCAGTGTGAATAAGCAAAAAGACAGAGTAAATTGTACCGAACAATGACGTGACGCGATCAAATAGAGGCGCGCACTAATGCAGCAGACATGACGGCAGTGTGGAAGCATTTAAAACTGTCAGAGAAAGATGCAAAAATCATTACAAGCACCGACAGCGAGAGCGAGACTGCTTAGTGCTGCATCTCATGTCTCCGAAGAGAAGAGGAAGGGGTGGTTGTTGCTGGTTACTGTATGATGATTAAAATCGCGAAATGGCCTTAAACAATTAAAATACACTGCAGAACGTTATGTTTTCTAATACACGCATGAATTGCATGTGTTCAAACAGCCCTGCACGAGCTCGCGGCGCTGTCTCATTAGCCAGGGTTCAAAGTCTGAAAACTGTGAAAGACAACCATCGCCATCTTCAGCATCATCTTACGCCTCTGCTTCACTGTCCATTCCTCCCATAGGAAAATGGACCAATGCAGGTTTGAGACAAGCTCTGACTAATTCAGACCCGGTTTTCGCGGCGGATGAGTAAAGCCGATCTCTACAGTCTTTACGTCTCGCTGGAACACACTAACACTCCTTCAAAGACAAGTAGAGTCCGTAAGAATAAAACCTCTCATGTTTCTGGCACTTTATCTTCATCCAGGTCCAGCTCCAGCCCCCCCACCGCGATCGAAGAGAAACAGCAGCCATCAGCAAGCCGGGGCCACGCCCCAGACTCCGCCCTTCCAGATCCTGTACTGCCTCAATCCTCAGCTCCTTCAGGCACCGCGCTGCCCGCTGCATCGCACGCTAACATATCCTATCTCCCCTTTTCTACCCTTCCTGCTTCTTTTAATCTAGCTCCGGCGGCAGACGCTAGCGTGAGGATGCCTCCGCTGGCCACTAAAGCCCAGCTACCCGACCACTTCCCTTCTACAACCTCTGCTCCCTTTTTCTCTCAGTGGCCTGCAGCCCCCACCGTAGACGCCGGCTCAAGACAATACCTGCCAGCGATGCAAGCTAACTGGCCTCCTCCCTCTTTTCCTTCGACTTCTTCTCACTCCCTTCCTCAAGCTCCAGGGGCTAGTGCAAGCGTGAGGCTGCCTCCGCTTTCAGTCACAGCCCCCATTTCCCTCCCTTCCAGCTCTGCTTTACATTCTAAAACTCCGTTCACTTTACTATCTGCTACATCGCTTCCTGCCCCACCGAATGCCGTCGCTTCAGAACCACCCCCGGTGACCCACAACATTAGGTCTCAGACCCTCGCAGGTGCAGATATCGATCTCTCATCTCTGCTTTCTCTCCTCCCCGTTGCCGAATCTAATCGGCAAATAGTTTGCGGGAATTTCTCCGGGAAAAAACCCCGCTCCTAACTCATCTCGCATCCTCTCATTCTCCGAATTCACTATCGCTTTCAGCCGCTACACAGACGTAATTTGCTCAGTTTTTCCCCATCGACGGCGCGAAATCAACGATTATCTGGCCATAGTCACAGAACTCGCGCTGTCCTACGGAGGAGGTCATTTCTATACATAACACAAATTATTCTCTGCTAAATGTACGGTTCGCTTGGCCAGTGGAATCAGTGCCCCTACTGGGGCGCGCCGGACCCTGATCTCCACAACAGAGTGTTTTTAGGATGTCGTAACATAACATGTGCACTCTGCAGGTCGTTATCCCACCCCA